AAATGTGGTACTTTATATAAAAGCAGTATGTGAAATCTGCACTCAAGAATATATTGATCAAAGGCAAAAACAGCAAACATTTCTATTAAACCAGAGTCTAGGACCAGATTAGAAAGTACTAAACATCACAGCCTGCAATTGTTTCAAGTACACCTAGCAATTCTGCTGATTTGGGACCAGTGAAACTGATTACTTAATGAGGCAATCATTCAAGGCATCCAAACAGACAAAAATAGGGAATCATTAGCATAGCCGTCTTCACCTTGGGATAAAAAATTTTGAAAAATGTTGCAGACACTTAAACTTTTGGAATCTGACCCCATGCTTAAACGAAGGGAGGGGGGGAGATCTAAAAAGTGACAGCCAAAAATTCAGGGGGAAAAATAATGTATCTATAATTATATTATTCATTTATCTTCTCAGGTAATATTTTCAACTATCTTAGAAATCTCAAGTTTTATACAGATTTTTCTCTATAGATTCTTGGAAGTACTACTTTCCTCCCCTCTGGCCATACTCTTGTGCTATCTAAAAGTAATTAATGAAATCTCTGCGCTCTTGTATTTCTGTCATAAGTACCTGCCTCCAAAAAGATTTTCAAAGTCCCTGCCCAACATGAATAAAAACACAAAAAAGATTTTCTATTTATGGGGAAAAAAATGGTACTGGAAACTTAGCCACTGAAGTCTTTAATATAACTAAAGAAAAACACACTATGTTTTCACTCAGAAGATACCAGAGACAATTTTAAGAATCTCACTGATCTGGTACAGCCAGGAGAAATAAAAACTATTCTCTATGAAAAAAAAAATGGTTCCTGAAATAATTCCAAAGAGGCCCTACAAACTGTCTTTTTAAGAGAAGAGAAAAGCAAGTCAACTCACATATACAGCTTCCAAACAGAAGTCTTACCCTCTTCCAGGAAAACAACGAGACTTTATTGCCCTGCTATGATTCTTTCGTTTCAGACATGATTAATTAGCAAGTATTACACTTCCCAAAACTCCCACCACACTCTTTGTGGTCTATCATCCTTGATAGACCCCTATGAAAGAGCAAGTAACCACTAGCGATGTAAGACAAGTATCCAAAAAACTCTTCTCTCTCACATCTTTGCCTCCCAAAATGAAGCAGGCTGTTTTTAACACCTCTCTCTCTCTCTCTCTCTCTCTCTCTCTCTCTCTCATAAAGAAATCACATTTTTTAAAACGTAGTCATTTTTCTAACAATATCTTTTAACATCTGAATAAGGCATGCAACATATTCAGTATTTTCGAATACATGGCACATTTAACCTGTTCCCTACCTGTATTTTTAAGCGGAAGTTCTGAAAGCCTTGTGAGTCCATGTAGTTTATATCGATAACCATCCACATGCACAATTAAGAAACAATAGAGAAAATGTGAGCAAGCATGTTTGGGGGAATGGTTTTTAATAGAAAAAAAAAGTTTATTTTCCAAATAAAAGCTATTATGTCACACATGCAATGGAGATAGGAAATAGAAATAAAGGATTAAACTAAAAGACAAAGAGAAGAGGGCAACTCTAAAATGTGAATGAATGTAAACTCTGATCTCTGCATATTGCTCCAAAACACACTTTCAAAATAATTTTCCCTTTAATGCAATCAATGTCCAAACTGTCCATGTGAACCAAGACGCCAGCCATAGCTGGATGTGCTATAAATATATATTTTAACAACCAACCATTTATAAAGACTCGGGTTTCCCCTTCAACTTTTCAACTGTTGTGTCCAAAAAACTTCACCCATAGTACAATACTAATAAATAGATCTTGGTTCCAGGAAACATTTTAAAAAATCTATTCTGGTCAAAATATCCTTGCTTTTTTTCTGTTGTATTAAATTTAGGATCAAAAACATCAAAGCAGCTTCCACCTCGGACTTAACTTTTAGAGGATCAATGTGACAAGGCAGTCAGTCCCTGATAGATGTTTCTCTTGATAAACGACTTGTTCAAAAGAGACATTGTAGCTTTCATTTCCTGACCACAACACACTTTTAATTTGCAACAGCGGAGCTGCCAGAGTGTGAGCACTCGCCCACTTTCCAGCCTTTTAGGTTTGTAGCCCTGGTTCCTTTAGGCCAAACATCTGAGACAGAATCTAAAAATAATCGGAGTAATAGAATTACAAAACAGGAGCCACGAATGCCACTTTATACATATACACAAGTGTCTACTTTATAGATACAGATATAAACTTTTTCTCCCCTGTAGGATAACAAGGGTCCTGAGTGAACATCATTTGCACAACAGGCATTTAAACTCGCAGGGAAATAAATTATGTGACTATTAGTTAATAGTAAGCAGAGCCTGGGTGGGGGGCAATTTACACACTTAAATCTGGTGTTAAATGTCATGAATTATATGATTGCCTAACCCAATGTGTTTTTTTTTACATATTATTGCAATGGTTATCATTACTACTACCCAGAAATCACACTTAAGTATCAATAAGGTAAACAGTCAAACCATCCAATTTCTGCTCTCAGCACATTGTCTGAGCTCCGATTTAAAATTTATAAATGTAATATCCTCCTCATCACAGGCAGCAGCCCAATCTGCTCTGAATATATATTACAGCTTTAACATCACAGAGGGAAATCGCCCATCTGGCAATCCCATTCGCTCCAACAGCTCCGGGGGAAAAAAAAGCTGTGCTCTCTCCTCCTTAAAACATTTCTCAGGGCAAATTATGTGCATCTAAAATAAACAGTCTTCTTATTGATCGCTTCAAAGTCAACAAGTTCCAAATGCAAAATTCAATCAAATCCTTCCTATCGGGTAAGAGTGGTGTGTGTTTAGCTCGATAGTCACCAGAGTCCAACCAGAAGTGTATGTCGCGCAACGGCTCTTGTAGCCCCCTTTCCTTGTATTCACATTTGTGTCATGAGAGAGCAGCCACCACTGCCACATTACAGACCCCTGGCTATTGCCCCTCTGCTATTTGTTTCTCTCATATTCTCCCTTTTCCTTCTTTCTCTCTTTTCAGGGTGAATGCATGGTGGCTGGGTAAATGTACCAAAAAAGAAACAGTGTAGAGTGGACATATCCTTTGGTTATGCAAAATACTTTTAACATCTTTTTGTTGTTGCTGCTCCCTCTTAGTCTTAATTGAATATCACAAAGTGTACACACGGCATGGTCACAAGAGCTATTGAAAACCCCCTCTCACTCCATTTATCTGACCTTTTTTTATTTTTTGTAAAGAAAGAGGAAAGAGCGATTTCAAACAAAGTCAATTTCAGTGCCTGATTATTTAATTCTGTCACAGGTTAAAAGTAAAAAGCGCTGACAGGCAGACAAGTGAATGGCAAGCAAAGAAAAAAGAAAAAAAAAAACAAAAAACTACCACTGTTCCTTAAAAGGCATTAACGACTTTAAGCAATCAAAATATATTTTTATGTTCATGTAAAAGATATCCCTTCATAACTCATTCCCCCAAACACACACACAGAGACACACACACACACTCAGAAGAACTGATTACTCCACAAAGTGCAATCATTGAGAGAGCCCATAGCCCAATTGCATTAATAGATTGAGAGAAAAAAATTCACCCAGTTCTGTGTGTGTACATATATATAGAGAGATATATACTTTCATTAGTAAGCA